CAGAGGAATTTCTGTTCAGCAGAAGCACAGCTGCCCATGGGTTAGCACACAGCTTCTAGCAGTCTGCAGAATTGCTAAGGACAACCATTTTAATGGGTAAAATTTGCAGAATGTGGTTAAGGCCGTGAGTTGGGGTGAACCTAGATCTTTGGGACTGATAGCTTCTCCTGGGAAGTGCTGCAGGGTCTGAAGTACCTGCCAACAGCTATCGCCTTGGTTTAATCTGAGAAGTAGCAACTGCAGAAAGGCTGTTGCCCACTGTGTTACAGGAATACCTTTTCTCACTGGAACTGGGAGGAGAAAGGTGCTGAACTACTGCTGCTATTCTTTTATTGAGTTGGCACCCAACAACCCCTGGCATGGCTGAGCACCCTGCAAACCTCTGAGAAGTCACAGTTGCAGCCTCACTGCTCTGATGCCATGCTGTACAACAATGCACTTTTTTTCCTTCCCTGGCTATAAAACACAGCTTTCTTTCCAGCAAGTGTGTTTGTTAAACAAATAACCAGACGCCGTATATATCTAATGCCATCCCAGCCCTTGTCTGAGACAACGGGATTCAATATGCCAGGCAGGAGATAAAAATGATAGAGTTGCTGTGTGGCCCCACCCTCTGGAACAGGAGGTGTTGTAGAAGTTGGTTTACATCCATATGTTTTATATCTTTTTCTTTCCGTCAGCTGCAGAAGAGCTCCATTGACTGGAAGAAGGGTGGCCGGAAGGTCGATGTACTGTCCCCGGAGCAAAGCTATGAGGATAGAGGGTTCAGGCAGCCGGAGAAAGGACTCAGCCTCTTGGTGCAACATGTGCTGGGGAAACCTCTAGATAAAACAGAGCAGCTGTCTAACTGGGAGAAACGGCCTCTCCGGGAGGAGCAGATCCTCTATGCAGGTCTGGTCACTGACTCTGTGGCAAGGTGCTACAGGTTGCCCATTACAGGCTGTGTTTGTCTGTTGTCTGTCGCCAGGGAAATTGTGAAGTAGCAAACAAAGAAAATGGCTTTGCAGATTAGTTCCTGTTCAGAGAAGCGGGCAAATGTTATGTTTGTCCTTTTGCGGACATGGCTTTAATGGTTGAAGTTTAAACTGTCCAGTGATTCATTATTTCCCTTATGAAAGAATTCCTGCGCTTTGCAGATTTTGTCTGATGAAACATCACCTCGGTGGAAAGTCCTCTCAGTAACTGAAAGGAAGAAAGTCCACGTCCTTCTGCCTCATTTCACAGCCTTTCTGGGAAACGAGCGCTGTGTTCATTTGTGGTAGTGAAGTGCTTGTTAGAGCACGGTTAAAAATGGGTGGACGTGGTGTCAGGCACTGCAGCACAGCGTCGGTACTGCGGAGGGACCAGTGGAGTTTATTGCTGATTACCCCAGAGTCAGAAGTCTGGGTCTAAATCTTTTCCCGAGGCATCAAAGGACAGTCTCCTGAAGCGAACCAGCCCTTTGTTAAATTCAACTATCCTTGAAGTTGACACAGTTCCCACAAAAGTTAATCACCAGGACTTGTAAAACTGGCTTGGAGACTTAGACAGTTCCCGTTGCAAGGAACAGAAGCCGCACGGCAGTGCGTGTGGGCAGGTGTTTGCAAACAGCTTTTTGAGATGTTACATCTAATGGGGAGGTTACCTGCCCATAGCTGAGGTGCGGCAATAAATCGTGGGCAAGCCGCTGCTCGGCAACAATGGAGAGGAAAATGGGTTGGCTGAGGCTCTCTGGCATGGTGGTTTGAACAGGCAAACTACCGTTTGCGTTAGAGCCGGGGACAGCCAAGGGGCCGTCGCTTTTTGGGATCCTCTGCCTTGACTCCTTGGGATCGTGTGTTAGGTTGTGATGCTCCCTGAGTCAGGAAGAGGGTGCAGGGTATGACATAAGTACGCTGGAGCTTCACAGGTTATTTACCTTCAGTGGCATTTACAAAGGTGAGGGCTCTTCCTTGTGTCAGGGAAGCCTCTGGTTTGAATGAAACCAGCTGAGGCTCATATTCCATTTTTTTCAGCTTCAGATGCGTACTGTTTGCTGGAGATCTACGAGAAACTCCGTAAGGATCCAGCGAGCTTCGGTCTGAGTTCAGACCTGACCGAGAGTCTGGTGGGAAAACCAAGCGTAAAACCCAGGGCAAAGAAGCAGCTGAATAAACAAGAAGTACCGTCACCTTCTGGACAGGTTTGTAAACATCTTCAAAGAGCCGCGTGTTGCTCAAGACCCCTGCAAATCATACGTTGCCTCGTGTCTCAGTCATGCTGTTAGCTATGCATGGCATGCCTGTTTGTAGTCTGTTCTCAGGACTATTGCAGCAAACATCTTCCTCACTCCTCCCCTGTACTGGCGAGATGTGCTTTCTCCTCTGCATGCCTTGCTCCAGCTTCCCCTGCAGTTTGAGGTCATTTGTCTTCACAAACTGTTGGTGCAGATCTGTGGCAGAATCCAGCTAACCTTGCTGGCAGAGATGCTCCTTCCACATTTCCTCAGTGGTGTGGGTTTGAATTCTGTGGCCTAGGTGTTGCATCCATGAGGTTTCAAAACTGACTTCCTTACTTTTGCTTTTAACCGAGCTTCTGCACTCTGGTTTCACCTTGGGAATGCCTCCTTTATTGCATCTGGAGTAGAAGTCTGCGAGGTTAAAAGCAAACAATCAAACAAAAAAAGTCTTTCTGCAGATGGCTTGTCTCAGTCTCCCTGCCCATCACCATGTACTCCATGACTGGCCTCCTCCTGCAATGTGTGTTGTGACAGAGCCTTGACACTCCACGGGCTGTGACTTGGAGCTGTGTGACTCTGCTTAAATATCTTGGAACGTGACTGGTCCCTCTCTCTCAATAATAAAGTTTTACTTTTGAAATGCAACCATCCACTTGTTTGTGCACCTATGAAAACACCAGCAGAAAACCAGTTTTGTTTATTAACTGGGAAGACTCACTATGGCTGCGTGTCCTTCTGAGTAGTCCCAAATGTGTATTTAGCTTCCGAAGTCAGTACTACCTTCCATGACTGGGCTGAGATGCTATCGATTATAGCCACCTTTTCAGGATCCTCCTTACCAAGTGTGTGTAAACGCACAATGTCCCGTTGGGCTTAGTCAGGCAGTAGAACACAAAGCAGCTCGGGAGTTTCCTCAGCACTCCGTGTTCACGGGAATGCTGTGGGTTACAGCAGCTCTGACTGGCTGCTGCAGAGATGGGAAAAGTAAGTACTTCAGGCTTGAATTACCTTGTGAACTCACAGGTCATCTTTGTGTTCTGTACAGTCAGATTCATTAACCGGGAGGTAGTTGGTAAAACCTGGGCTGGGGCTCAAAAAGCACACTCCCCCTGCCTTTGCATCCTGCTCAACTCCAAGCGCTCTTTCCCACTGTTTCCTGGTCCACTGTCTGAAGTGGGGCTAATGACACTATTCTTTATAAGCTTTTTGCTCTCTGCTGGCATGAAATGTGAGAAAAAAGCTACGTATGACATTGCTGGCCATGGAATAAACACTAGCTAAGAGCCAGCTGCTGCTCCCTTGCATCTGTTTGGACAGAAGCAGCAGCACAGGATTAGTGTTTTCCAGCTAGCTCAGCATCGAAGGGTCAGCTTGATCCGTTATCACTGCGCTCCGATGTCTCAGGGCACAGCGGCATCCACCAAGGTCCTCGCAGGAGCCGGTGACAGTCCAGTCTTCCCAGTGCTGCGGAGCTTGGAGTGCAGGTACCAGCTCCTGGGAGGTGCAGCATCACACAGATGGAGCTCTCGGATCTGAGCGAGTTCACATGGTCAGCCCAGGTGTCTCCGCATGGTGTGCCACAGCCTGAGTCAACTCCTGCAGAGCTAATGTGCAATGCTGCAGTAACTCTGGTTCCAAAGGCACTGTAGCTCTGCATAGGTGGTGATGGTGGTGGTGATGGTGTCCTTCAGTCATCCCAGCATGACTCGAGTTCCTGCAGGCAAAGCTGAACATTGCAGGTTCCTTAATAACTTCCCTTCTCCATGAATTTAGCTATTGTACTTCTGGGAGCCTCCCAACGACAAAGTCTCCGACTGCAGGAACTCCCTCAGCAGCAGATATTTGAAATAAAATAAACAGAATTCAGGCACTGCCTATTTTTAAACTTCCGAAGATAACAAAGCTGACGTGGTTGCTTTGTCTACCTGTTTCTCCCTCTGTCAGATCCCCTTCCCAAATCATAATTTTGGCACATGTATGTTAATTGCAGTCTAAGTTGATAGGGGAATAGCAGTCTTGAAGATGTGTTTCTGTGACTTCCTGGAAATGAACATCTGTGCAGAGCATAGAAGGCCAGGTTGGCATTTCTCCAGGGAAAGGCTGCAGATTGCCGGTTAGGGTGGCCAGTTGGCCGGTGAGTGAATGGCTAATTCAGAATTAGCCCCATCATGTTCTGCCTCCTGCCCAAGTGGTACGTGGGCGATGTGGAAAGGATGTGAAGGAGGAAATAGGAGCATGAAGGAAATTGTAATACAGGTGGTGTGGGACAGTTGGATTGGCCATGGCGGGTGAACGCAGGGAGGCAGAACACAGCTGTACTGGAAGTCAGCCTTCTCTTCTGCTGCTTACGGATCTCTTGCCTTTCTGTAGCAATGCAAAGGACCCAAAAAGGAGACCTCGTGTTCCCCTGCACCCATCTCCCCAAAGGAGTTCAGCGTGGTCTGCGATAACATGCTGCAAGGCCTCGGGCGCTATCTGCGCTGCCTTGGCGTAGATGTCCGGATGCTGGAGAATGAGGATGACCATAGGAAAGCTGCTGAGGTTAGTCATGTGTGTGTGTGTGTCTATCGCTCCATCTGCGCTCCCTGGGGGAGGCCTCCTGCTTTCTGAGTCGCTGCACCAGTTAGTCCGTTGTGCCGAACGCGCAGCGGGTCGGCAGGAGCTGCCCAGTGTGTGATTCCTGCCCTGTGCCCGTGCTGAGTCCTGGTTCTCTGGTTCAGTCCGAGAAGCTGTGCCATGTGGCAGCTGGTATTAGCTAGTCCCTATAGTGGTGTGGGAGCTTGGTTCTCCGTATCCAGGCGTGGGAGGTGAGCAGAGAGTGCTGTGATCTCGCACGATATTTGTGTTTGTTTGTGTCATTGACAACTGGGATGTTTCAAGTCATTAGAAGAACACAAGCTGAGTGTAAAGGTGTGACCTGCAGTCTCAAGTGTCTTTGATGGGGAGGTGGTGGTAGATTTATAACAAGACAAAAATCAGAAAGGAACCCAAAATTCACTTTGGTTTCTAATGGACTCTAGTTCAGGCTTACAGGGAAGGTATTTTCCTGCCTTGCACCTGGGTCAGTCGAGCAGAACCATAATCAAAAGATGGCTGTTCAATATGAAAGGGAAAGTTTCCATAATTGATTGCCATATAACGTCCTAGCTGGCTACCGCCTTGTGAGAGGACTCAAAGGTGCTCAGCCACAACTTGCAGTGAAATGTTTGGGAAAGGAAGAATCTCTAACATTCGTGGGGACAGTGAGCATTGATCTGACTCCCATGACAATTTTGACCCTCTGCCTCTCAGAGGAGAGACATGTGCTTCTTCATTTCAGACATACTTCTACTATGCCAGAGATGGAGATATCCAGCCCACACAGTGTGTTGCTATCAAATGTGCACGGATCACCCGGCCTGGTGCACAGGATGTTTCCTCTTCAGATGTCTGCTTGGCCTGAATCCTGGGCGGGCTCTGACTTCTGCAGAAATAATTAATATCTCGTCTCTGCCAAACTTGCACAAGTCATTTAAACAAACTAGTTCTCCCTGCCTCCCCCCAGAGCGTGGTCGCCGCTTCCCATCCTGATACCTTATCGTGCTATGGACAGGATGTTTTACATTGCTTTCTCTATGGTGACCGGACAAACATCCTTTCACTATCAAAAGCCCTTGGAGTGTTACTGTATTCCAGAGCCTTTGATCTGTGCTTGGATAATCAAAGATAAAAATAGGCTCCTCCCACCCTGCTTTATATCTGGCCAGTCCTCATTTAATGAAAGTTGAATGTCGACCACTCTATGCCCGAAAACTTGTAGATGTTATTGCAAAGGCCAGGAGAAAGGTTTGGATCCTGGTCACTGGCTACAAGACAGACAGTTTGGGCGTTGTCCCAACACGGTCTCAAACTGGTGTCACCAGAAACACGTAAGTGTGTGCAGAGTTAGTGTTTGTTCTTCATTAAAGTCATGTCACTAGAATGATTTATCAGTCATATTATACATCTCCTTGTGCCAAGAACTCCTGAATTGCCTGGCATTGGCTCCTTATTGTTCTTGTTCCTGTTGCTTGTTAAAGTGGCTTCAAGCATTGATAGGCAGATGGGTCTTGTCCTTCACCCTCTGTTATTTGAGTTCAGACTTAAAAGCCTGAGAGCTTCATAGGTTGTGCTTGGGCAGCGACAGATTTTATGTTTGGGTCTTTTTTTAGACTTCTGCATGTGGTAGTCATTGGTTTGAGAAACCTCATTCCCAGGCTAAACTTGAAGTCCGTGTCCTGTGTCCTGCTTCGTGTCGCGCTGCTATTATTGGCTAAATGTTTTGTCTTGGGCAAGAGTTGTCATGGCAAGTTTATCGTGCCAGATCTGCAATCGCAGACCTGCCGGCCCCTGAGAGCAGGACCTCTGACACCACGAGGCAGTGTATGCCCCTGTTTAGCTGCTGTGAGATGACACCAGTTTGCATTCTGCGTATTTAATGGTGCTGTTTAATTAGGACTTGACTGGAGAAGTGACTGATTAAAAGTTATCTGTCATAAGCGCAGGCACAGGAAATCTAAAAATGGAAAAATAGTAGAAATTCGTACTGAAAATTTCTCTGGTTAAATCTGCCCTGATGTTGAAGGCAAAGAGCTCACAGTCCATCCTTACAAGAACATTTTAGCCTCTGTTGATGAGCACCAGCCTCTCTGGGAAGAGCAGCTTCGTGTCCCAGTACAGGCACCGAGTCATTTTCCGAGCTGTCGCATTCGGTGGGGTGGCAGTGCCATCTTTACCGTGCCCCGTGTGTACCCTAGCTGCAGGAGCAAAATGCACGCAAGCGTTTGGCAAAGCAGGTGTGCAGCTGGGGATGAAGTTTGTGCCAGATGTGCTGGACGAGCACCTTTACCTGACTGGGAGCAGCCTGTGAACTGAGGGCCGGGGGCTCACCATGTGCTTTCCCTGAAACGTGTCCTTGCCCGGCAGCGCTGCTGCAGTCCTGCACCTTGGGAGAAGGCCCTTCTGGAGGGCTTTGGGTAGTGGCCCAAGCCTGGTTCCCTGCTGTGTGCCAAAATGAGGACACTTCTCTTGGGAAGGACTGTATGCATCCAGCCATTCCTCACCAGGGGCTTCTGAGTCCATCCCAAGGTAAAGAACGACTCCATCTGGTAAAGAATGCGGAGGTTCCATCTCTCTTACGCAGCGTCCTTCTGTGCGTGCAGCTGCTGGTACCGGGGTAAGCTGCACTTTGCATTTGCACTTACTCCTATAAGCAACATCTTATTTCCAATTAATACATTTTTCTTTGCTTAAATCATGCCCTATGCCTGTTGTGTTTCTTGCTGGGTCTTCCAGCTTGTCTCCTGCAAACTTCTCTTTGCAGAGAATCTTAAACTTATCTTTTGGGCCTTCTAGATGGATAATTGGAGGGAGGTGGGAAGGTTTCAGAGGGTGTTCCTCTTCTATCTGCAATTTTGCAGAATCAGGTAGAGCAGTAGGATGCTTCTCGTACTAACTGTAAAGGATCACCCACCAGCCTGAAATGGCTACAGCAGATCTTGCAATATTGTACTTCAGGAGTGGAGCAGAAGCCTATAAGAAAATGTTTGTAGTTTCTTAAGTTACTAATTTCTAAGAAGAGACTTGGTAGAATCTCAGAGCCTCTTCAGTTGAGTTGTGGGTTGGTTTGGTTTATTTTTTTAATGGCCTGTGCTCTTGGTCTTCAAAATCATCCTCTCTCTATAAATAATTTGCACGCTAAGGCAAACCTGGTGTCTTTTGAAGTATGATAATAACCAGAAGGCTGGTAGAACGGGCTTCCTGCAGCTCCCATGGTTTAGAAGGTTCCCTTGCAAGGTTAAACCTACTCCCCCAAAACTCCAGGTGAGACGATGAGTCGGAGAGGAAGGCCAGGCTTGGATGGATCTCAGGAGCCAACTAGAGCAATATGCACCTGGATCTGAATTGCTCTGGACTGGTTTGGAGCCGTGGGATGCAAAGGAGACTTGTAATACTGCAGTGAGCAGAGCTTCATGTAATGGGGGAATCTAATCTCTCATCTCGTCTCAGCTTTGAATGGCTTTTTCCATATTTTTGATGTAACCCACATTCTTTGGGTTTGCTACTCTTTTCACCTCCCCACCAGTCTGTGGAGTGAATTCACGGAGCACAGATGAAGAACTGTCCTGCCTTTAAGATTAAGACTTTGCTTTTGATGTTTGGTTGGCAGGAGGAGAATGTCTGTCTTTGGAGACCTTGAAACAAATATGTCTACATTAAGGAACAAGATTGGGTCGATGGTTTTGATCTGGTACTTCAGGCCACATTAGGAAATCGTGCAATAACACTGTGCAATTTTCGGATTTCAGGAATGCTGAAGTCTGGGGTTGAGATTCCAGCAGCACAGCGAGTGCTCGGCAGGGCTGGACCGAGAGTGTTCACAGCCATTAAGCTCTTGGTTTACTGTCTGTTTTAAAAGAACCTGAGGCAACAGGTTGAGGGCTTCAGGGTTGGGTCGAGATTCGTGATTCACTTCTCTAGTAGATCCTTCTCGCGGTGTTTTCCAGCGCACATCCCGGAACAGATGCTTTCCGTCCACTCCCTTTTTGTCTGAACTAGGACCTTGCTGGCCTCAGCGCAGGATCTCTGCTTCACCTCTGCAAGGGGGTCACAGCTTTTCCTGGGCTGGTGCCTCGCACAGGGAGCACTGCAGTTTGCCTCTTCAAGGACATGTAGCATCACCCAAGATGTGTCATGCATGGGCTTGGCAAATTTTAAATTACAAATCTACAGCCTCGTGCTGCTGTTTCTTGAAACCATCTTTGGCCTTAATTCAGGATCCTTTGGGTTGTCAGGAATTGTCCTTCCGCTGGTGCTGGCTTCGAAACAGAGAGTCTCACTCTGCGCTCGCTCGTCAGTTGTTGCCCCTCCAGGTCTCTCCTGTAGTATTTCATCTGAGTCCGTCCAGCTCTGCAAGATGGAAGTTGGCGGAACAGACAGGCATGTTAAGGGTTAAGTAATAATACCAGGTTATTAGGGAGTGCTTTCTATGCAGAAGGTCTAAGCCTTTTCCAGAGGAAGTTGATATTATCTTTTTAATGGATTGTGAAACTGAGGCCAATGCCCTCTCTGCAGCACTTGGGATGGAGCACAAGTCCCTGACACCCATCCCAACACCACTCGGATGGTTCTTTTCCTTTTATTTGCATCTCTGAGCACACATCTCCCGGACGGTCCCAGTGCTACCCTCAATTATTTCTGTCAGAGGAAAAGGAGGAATTGTGCCCTTTTCTCCAGCACGTATCCTCCGTGGTGTCGGTCAGATGTGTGCTATCACATGGCTTCTCTGGCTCTGCGTGCTTCTCCCAGTCGTTGTTCCAGAGGTGGAAAAACATGCTGGAAGAGTTATTGCTTTTCTCCTTTTTATTTGATGTTCTTTGCCTGTCTCTGCAGAGCCATTTAGATAAGGGGATTTATCAAGCTTGAACTAATTAACCCTGGATGCAGGAAGTCAGAATGGAGTGTTCCAGCTGTAAAATCCTCAGACTTACTCTGAAGCACACATGGGTCTGAAGGAATTTTACATCTCTCTTCCCTTGTGGGCAAATCTCTAGGGTGAACTTTTGCTGTGGCCTTACTGGACTTCTCTCGCCAGTGTGGCATGAGGGTGGCTGTTGGCAGGGCTGTTGGGAGCCCAGACTGCATGCAGCTCGGGGTGTCTGCTGCCGCTTCAAGGTTCCTGTTCCTGGAGGTTTGTTTTCCTTTAGTGAGGGAAAGGGTGGATTTTGATAGAAATCTGGTAATTTTGCCTGCAGGAAGATGCTTTAGAAGTTGTTGCCAATCGCTTTCACAGTGCAGAACTGGCAGCCAAAGAGTGACTTCATGAAAAAGAGAGGAAAGCTGCTACCTGGAAGGTCAAGATAGGAAAAAAAATGGTAGCTTAGTTGACTGCATGGGGAGTTTGTGCCTTCAGAGCCTTCTCCCTCTTGTTTCGTGTTGCCATAGGTCCGGTGGGTCTTGAGAGAACAGCTATCCAAGATAGAGTTTAAATATCTTTTTTTTTTTTTTTTTTGCTGTTCCCTGGCTGTGCTTGGTGTTGTCGGACTGTCTGGGAAGTGCAGCAGGACTCTGATCCCAAGTGTGTCCTCCTGCCAGGGTTAAAGAGTGATCCAGAGAGAGCTTCTGAAACTCTGATCCAGAAGAGAGCCCTCCATGACACACATCTGGAAACAGTGAAAAATACAAGAGCTTCCAGCAGAATCCAAGCCAGAGAAGAGGGATAACCTCATGCCTACCTCGAAGTGCCAATCTTTTGTCAGCGCTGGCAGAGCTGAAGTGCTGGTTCACGTGGGAATCCTTCAGTTGCTACGGCCATGAAACTGCTTCCCTCCTAGAGGAGGGGTGAAGGGGTGGGAGGGAGGGATGTCCTTTAATCGTACGAAAATCAGTCACACTTTCATCCTCGCGGAGAATTGCAGTTCCAGATTTAGTATCTCCTTTTGGCACCAACCCATTTGGAAGTGTCTCTTGCCCTGTTGCGAAGGTCAGAAGTGTGGGTAATGAGTCCCCTGACAGTTCAGCGCGGACCTTTCCCGTGAAGGACAAGACCCGTGATAAAAGCTCAGGGTTGCAAGTCAGGAGGTGATAAACTCCCATGGAGACATTCTGTGCAAAGGGTGCATAATTTCTGTGTGCCTGCCCTTGGGCTGCTGGGAGAGTAACACCACCTTATCTCTAAGGAACAGAGGGAGCATCGTTCTGTTAATGTCTGTGAAGTCTGCAGACACGTTTAGTGGTACGTTTTTTTTGCTGGAATTACCTGATTAGGTTATTTTTAACTTTCTCCCCTGTGCATTGCTGTGCGAGCAGAAGTGCTTGCTTCTTTGGGAACCAGACTGGGGGAATAGAAACAGTCTGGGTTAAGAGGCACAGAGAACAGATAGAAAGGTTTTTGATGGGATTATTTCAAGGTGGATCAGTTTTCTGAGCCATCTGCAGTGCAGATGCACAAGTAGCTTGTTCCAGCACATGTGAGGCTGGGGGGTACTGGCCGAGCGGGGACATGCAGCGAGTGAGCGATACCTGGAGCTGCCGTTGCTGCCAAGGGCATGTTGTAGAACCAGACCCAGATACTCTGGGCCCAGCACGTGTCGACGCTGGGGAGGAAGACTCGACATTGCCAGTTCGTGTTCTCTCTGCTTCCACGGAAAGGAAAGCTCGGATCCAGTGGTAACTTCAGCCCATGTTCATTATGATTTTTACTGTTTTTTCCAGATTGCCCGACAGGAAGGAAGAGTCATTTTAACCTCTGGACTCCCGTACCAGACTGTAAGTGTTCAGAGCTTCTGGCATTTTTCTGGCATTGTATCATTGCGTGGTCTGGGATGCACAGTGTAGAGAAGAGGAAAAGGCAGATGTGAAAGCAACAGCTGGCTTGGCTTTTTCATGTTTTCTGCACTAAAAACTACAGAAAGGCTCTTGAGAGGTTGGCTGGTCTGACTGACCGAAGCTCAGGGTGAAATTTCTTTTATCCTCAGCACTGCATCAGTGGGGAGAGCAATTGCTCTCCATTGGGGGCAGGGGGTGGAAATCAAGCCAAGCAATCCAGAACAAAGTGTTTCTGTTTGGCCTCACTGGCAGGTGAAAGGCAGCTCAATTCCCATGCTTTTTATCACAAAGATTCTTGTTTACTGACTGGCTCCACACTGACATAGTTTCAACACTTAAAGACGTTTCTTCAGGCTTGGAAGGAAGAGAATGGAAGGCACCAAGCACAGGTCCCAGTGGAAGCTGTAGAGGTTTTGTGTTCCTGTAGATACACAAAGAAACCAAAGCAAAACTCAACCTTACCCCCAGCACCAGATGTTCAGAGCCCTCCATGAGACACACTTCAAAACAAAGCGTTGGTGGGAATATACTGAACCTGTCAAGTCAGTGGTTGCAATGTTATGATCCCTGCTGCAGGTCCTTTGCACTTTGTTATTGGCAGAAAATGCATTTGGAAGACTGAAACTGTTCTGGATTACGCACACGAGCCAGAGTGCAGGACTTTTTGATTACAAGCTTTCCATATAAAAGCTCCCAACTACTTAAGTAGTTAATGGGAGTATTTGCAGAACGTACGTTGCTGATTTCCTACGTAACAGCTGAGCATTGAAGAAAACTACCCCGATGATGGGACACTGTGAGGCAAGTGCAGCCGTGCCATGCTACAGGTTCCTTATCCAGACTGTGGTTCCTCGAGCCTACAGTTGATGTAATAGGTAATTCAGCATCCAGCATAATCGTATTTGGCAAAGCTTTAACTTCAAAGGGCTGTGTAGGAATTGCAAAAGGAAAGGAAAATAACTGCTTCTCGGTGTACAGTACTATCCTGGGAAATGTCTGCTTCCCTTTTGTTCCTTTGCCTTCGCATGCCCTACGAAAGGACAGCTCTGCTAGGCTCCTTTTCTTGCACGTGAGTTCCCACCTCGCTGTGAGTACTCATCATGTTCATAAAGACGTGTCTGGAACTTCCCAGTGCTTGTTCCCAGACACAAACTTCTCCGTTAAATGTGAAACAAACACCGAGGGACTGTCCACGTCAACCACTTCAAATTCGTTGGCCATCAGTGAGCTCCAGGTGAAACGGTCTATAAACTGGAAGGGTTGAAGTGGTAAAACTGTCATTGGACGTCGTCTCCATCGTTGTGGATTTGCACACTGTGTGTGATCTGGCCAGGTTTCGTGTGAACACTGTGATTAAATTCTGTTTCCTCTCACTACCCCTGCCAGCACCACACCACCAAAATATAACTTGCAGGGGACTTGGGCAATCGTGTTTCTTAAATATATATAAAATGCTGCTGTGCTTCTGTGCTTCAGTAGTCTCAGAGCTATTGCAGCAGTGGCTGAGTGTTAAATTACCAATTGTGCTTGTTAGGTCAAAATTTAAACGGTGTAAACACATACTAACTCCAAATATTATTTGTAACTAAAACCAAACCAAGAGTACTAGGAAAAAACCCACAGATGATGATGCCTGGAGTGCCTCATTTATTGTCTTTTACGACTTGTCTTTTGAAGCTGCAGTCCCAGGTTGCAGAAGGAAGGTGCTTCTCTGTGAACTGCTCAGAAAAGGCGAGAGAACAGGCCCTGCAGGTTCTGAAGCACTTCAACGTTCAAGTGTCCCTGGCAGATATCTTCAGCCGCTGCCAGGTAGGACGAGGCTTGTTTGAGTTAAAGTTCACCCTCGCTCGCCGTTCCGTGCACAGCAGATGCTGCTTCAGCTTTTTGGGTCTTGCACTCAGTGTCTTCTGCTTGGTTCCCAAGGTTTCTGCTTGAACTTTGGCAACGTCTTGCAAAGCTGTGAGGAGCTCTGGCTGTGCTAACATCCATCAGAAGTGTTGATGACTAAGTCAGAAGAGCAGAGGCACTGCATCTGCAGCTTTGCTAGAAACTCTGCTGTTTTTCTGATTTTTGGTACTTGGCATGTGTTTTGGCATTGACTATCACAGTTATAGTCTCTTTGTTGCTGTCTTCTCTGCCTAGGACACATGCTGGTTTAATTATAAACCGTGTTTAATTATGGCTCTGTGATTCTGATAACATTTAATTACTTTAATAGGAGGAATTTTTTTTTAGGACTGGTTTTTTTTTTTTTTCAGAAGCTATTAGGTTAATTCATGTCCATGCTAGTTGATGGCTCCAGATTGTGTTTGGCACTAGATATCTGTGGATTGTTGTTAAGAAGAGATTTTAATTGTGTTAGCTCAAATCTCCATCTCTTCCAATTTCACTCTTGTATTTGTTACAGTAACACGCTGAAACCTATCCCTTCAAAAACTGTAATATAAACTGACTTGCAGCTCCAACATCTCTCATCTTATCAGCGTTTAAAGAGAGAAAAAGAAGAAACTGCAAATCTGGCTAGAAAAGGAGCTTTCTCTTAGGAATAAACAAGCCAGCTGAACACTTCAGTGCAGTCTGGCTCAGTGCCTCGTGGTCGAGCTCGCGGGGTCTCCTGGCCTGGTGGAACTGCACAAGTGGTGTGGGAATAGCAATGACTTCTGAGCAAACACACCAGAGCATTTTCTAGACCTCTGCTTATAGCTGATGTCGGTTGTTGGAACTATATCTGTAACTTATGGAGAAAATGAGAGTTGTCCAGCTGTGCAGGTTGTCTAGGAGAGGAGAATGACGTAACGCCAGGCAGATTGGATCGACATAGTATGGGTTGATCTTAGTTCAGGATAAATGTGTATATTCAGATATAAGATACTGCGTTCAGTCTGGTGGTTTTATTGTTCCGAGGACAGATTACAGTTGTTAATAGTGGCACGCTGGCTTCTTTACTATTAAAAAAAGACTTTAAAAAACCTTGTGGATTCTCTGACTCCCTGAGATCCCATAAAATAGCAGTGTTCTTCCTGATGGTTGTTGAAATACCACAGGAATGAGCATACACAGAAAAACCACGCTGCAGAAAACTGCACGATATCTGTAATAAATGCAGAAGCCTGTGCAGCGTATGATGTCAAACTGACCCCTTGCCCATGAGCTGGAGTCTGGAACTGTTTAACTCTACGGCTTTTTGGTACGTGCTGTCTTAGTTTACAATATAAATAGGGGTAATCAATCTGGCTAGGAATATATACTAAGTGTTCTCTTGCTTCCAGGAGAAATGCCTTCCCTGTAAATTGTGGTGGTGGAACAGCTGCATGTTTTACACTGCTAGGCATGGGAAGATGCTATTATTTGTCAAACCGCTCTGTGTTCTGAATCATATATTTACCTACGTTTAAGGCTTTGGCATTTTGGAGCTGATTTTGCTCAGCTGTCCTCTGCAGACAAGCTCTGCTAATACGATGCTGTTGCTCTCGAGGAGAATCCAGGCTTTCCCAGCTCCGTGTCTCCGGCGGACGCCCCGCCAGTTCCCCGGGGGTGCTGGGCCCCACGGCTCTCGCAGGTCTGCGCGCGGTGGGGAGAGCCGTGGGCAGCAGGTCGAGAAGGATCGTAGGGCGTAACTGCAGCCCATTGACTGCCCGCGTGAAACATGGCAAATCGCTGGTTTGAAGAGGGTGCCCTGGTGCCACGAGAGATCTCAGTGCTTTAGTTTTAAGTTCTTTCTAAAACATCTTATCCTCTGCAAACCTAACTGGGCTTAATTGGGATGGAGGTTAGATCTTTAAGCTGCTGAGCTGTGCCTTCCGTACTGCCTGCTCTGGTCTTTAACGGGGTTGCAGACCTCAGGGCTCGCAATGTGCCACCTCCTTGCAGAAGTGTGCTGCTGATGGGCGACCCAGGGTTTGCTGTCCCTGTAGCAGGGGAGCGCTGACGACGTGCGAGCCGGGGCCCCCAGAAACACCCAAGAGCTGCTGGGTGCCTGCTCGGCAGCGGGAGGAGGTTGGGGATACTCGTTGGTGACCCGGGCCGCTCTTCTTCCTCGCCTCCGCGGCGCTCGGCTTGCCGGAGCCCTGGGATGGGTTATCGGCTGCGGTCACCCGTTGTAGACAGGCGTTTTCTGTGTGTCACAGGAAGCAATGTGACATCCTGCCTGCCTGCCTCTGTCTCGTGGAGCGAGGGCTTGTTTTGTCTCTTGGGCTTCTGTTCTGTAAATGGTTGGAGTGAGTATGTCAGCAAATATTGTTGCTGTAACAATTAATGCGTGCAGTGCAGAGCACATGGGAAAAATAGGTCCCAATTCAGTGTTGTGCCCGAGATTGCTGTAAAATATGTTTCCTCAGCAGGGATGGATGGTCTCTCTCCTGCAGATACAAAGAATGGGTGCGCTTTGTAACCCTGCCAAAATACTGCCTTTTTCTCTTGAAACAATGGCAAATACCAGTTACCTCTGTCTGACTTCTAGCAGCAAGTGCAAGAAGAATTTCACCCATGGGCTTCCCAGCATTTCTGCTTTCAGTCGTGCTGGGCTTTGACTTGGTTGCTCCGGTTAAAGACTCCAGACATGGAGACTGCTGTTGTCTGCGTCAGTTATGGCCAGGTATGGTCTTCTCATGGCATGTGTCTCTCAAGTGCTGCAGCTTAAGGACTCTGGGATGGTCGTGGAGAAGCTGCCTGCACGCAGCAGCTTTAGCCAGGCCGAGTGTTGCCTTCAGTGAGGAACATTGTAGTGGAGCTGAGTGAAAATAAGATGAATTCTGTCTTCTGCTAACATGCAACTCACCCCTCCAAGAAGTCATACATTTCCTAGCCTTAAGATCTTTGAAATAAACCCATTCCCTGTATTTGAAATGCAAATGTCTTTTGTCTGTCACTTCTGCACACATTTGAATATCTTGTATACAGCTTTTCTTCCTTTCAGATATCCAAAAGCAGCTCCTTCAGAAAAGGGGTGATGTGAAATGCATGCTGGAGGGTGTTCTTACATGAGAAATTCAGCACATTGGACCCTTACACTAGTCAGGAAGATCTTTGTGGAGTTGTCAGGGGCTGTTGCAAGCAGCCTTAGGGTCAGCTACCAAACTGCCTTGAGTGGAAGATCAGTGCTCTTCTGCTCTTGACAACTTGGAGGAAGTTCTAACACAGAACGTGCATTTAGGAAAGAAAAACAAGCAAAACCTGCTAAAGAAGGTGGCCTGTTGGATGGCTACAGTTACAGATACAAACATCTGACACCTGGGTCATTTTATAGGGGAGTTGAAATTTGGCTTCTCTCACAGGTCCCTCTGTTCAAGGAGGTTATCTCCCACCCATCCCGGTGCCGCAGCCACCTCGCTCAGCTGCACGGGGCACACCTGCCTGCTTTGGCACCTGGGGTTGCCTGGTAGGACAGCAGGAGGACATGAACTCCATCAGTTCGTAAAGAAACACTTACAAATGAACACATTTGGCCAGATGTTACGTTGATGACTGGCTTGGCTTTTTCCATCTTGCTTTTCTGTGCGTCTGATTGAAGATCCATCTGAAGCAGGTGTAGGTGGCACCTACGGACCTGGCAGTGAGCACAGTGCCTCTTTGTTTTCTGCTCTCTTTCGCAGCGAGCCCGAGCTACCCAGGACATTCTGCTTCCCCTGGCTAAGGTATGGCGTCTGGCCTGGCCGACTCCTTGTCGGCGCGAAAACACTTGTGTCGGAGAAGATGAACTTGGGAAGGGCTGGCAGCCCTCGGCTGGGAGTAATGCCACTCTGCGTGGCACTGACAGGGTGAAGTTACGGTCTGAATGGTGATAAACTGAGGAGATGCACAGTGCAAATCGTTAGCTTTAAATCTTGGTATCGCCAGTGTTTGTCCCGATGGTTTGAAGGGAAACCAGCGTGTTCGGAGTCGTACGGGATCGCCAGTAAATTACTCCTGTTGTAGAACCTCGTCGTTAAAGGTTTATAACTCTGCTGTAAAATCATTGCTGGTCTGAGGCTCTGCAGGCAGGTTGGGAGCCAGGAGGGCCTGTCTGCCTTCAGAAAAGCTGAGCTGTGCTTCACTTGAACGCGTGACTGCTGCTCAGCTCCACTTGAGTCCAAAGCTTTGCTCCCGTGCAAGGGAGGGAGCGGGCAGGGGGCCCCGGGTCCTGCGGTGTGGCTGTGCCACCTCCTCGCCTCCCTCGGGCCGCTCTT